CCTATTTGTGGGAGTTGGGTAAGGCCTTCTGGAGGGAGGACACCCAATCTGGGTCTTAAGGGATGGGTAGGCATTAGGTAAAGAAAGGAAAGGTACTCAGGCAGAGGGGACACAAGAGCAAAAAAAGTGTAGGGAATCGAAGCAGCATAATGTGTGCAGCGATCTACAAGAGTTTGGCATTGCTAGAATATGAAGTTCAAGGCAAGGGAAGCTAGTGTAAAGCTGTAGTAGTCAGTGGCCGGGCGTTAAGGGCCATCTCTGTCAGATGTTCGAACTTTGTCAAACTGTGATGGGAGCCAGTGGGAGACTCGAAGTGGGAAAGTGACATGTTCACAGCTGCATCTTATACTGCTGTGTGGAAAACAGATGCAAAGGAGGAAAAGAGAGGTGGAGAGACAAATTAGGAGACCACTGAAGATGTTCAGAGGATAGATAATGAGTGCAGGAACTGAGAGAATAGTGGGGAAGCAGAGAAAGGGATAGATTTGAGAAATATTTAGCATGTAGTAGGTATAACCTGCTCAGTCTGGTGATTGATTAGATGAGGAGGCCGAAGAAAAGGTCATCACCTTCTAGTTTGGATGATTAAATATATTATGCCAGTATAAGAGGAAATGCTACTTTATGGAGAAAAATAGTGTAAAATGATTGGTTTTGGACCTGCTGAGTGTAAGGCCTTTCTAAGGCATTTGTAGCTATCTTAAAATTTGGAGTTGTTATACCACAAGCTCGTTCTGTGCCTCAAACTCAGATGGAGGTTTCCTTTTGGGCAGGACTCACATTTAAGGACAGCTCCATATTGCCATTATTTGATTTAGGTTGTTGGAATGTTGCAAATAAATGGCAATTTATTTTTAATGCAAGTATAATTATCAATCAAAATTATAAATAAATTCAAGTTAATCTTATTTAATCATGGAATTATAAGGCAGGCAATAGATAGTGCTTATACTTATTGGTTTAAGTTTAGTTGTTTTTAAGAATACAGTCAGCCTTCCATATCCATGGGTGCTGTGGATTTAGCTAACCATGGATCAAATATATTTGGAAAAAACATTCTACAAAATTCCAAAAAGCAAAGAATTTTCTATGCACCAAATACTACATTGAATTCACATGAATGAAGTGATGTATAGACATTGTAATAGGTATTCTAAGTAATCTAGAGATGATTTAAAATATATGGGAGGATTCATAGGCTATATGCAAATACTATACCATATTATATAAAGAACTTGAACATCCATGGAGTTTGGAATCTGCAGTAGGTCCTGGAACCAATCCCCTATGGATACTGAGGGATGACTGTATTACTGTTGAAAGAAAATAAACCTATATCCACTAGTTTAGATTCTTTTTTAACCAGTATGATAAAATATCATTGAAAATAGTATTCTTTTTACCAAATCATTAAAATTGGTGTAGGCGATTTAAAAATATTATAGATCTACCTGAACTTTATACATGCCACGTGTTCAAAGCTTTGCAATACCTCAAGCCAAGAAACTCTTCACTTTCCCCACTGTCACAGTGAACTGAACCATTTTCAAAGTGCCCCTTCTCATTCCTTTCTGAATGCACTGTTTCAGTCCTTCCAGTTGTGATTAAAGATTCCGTAGGGATCTTTGTACAGGGTTAGGAATATGGTCTGCGTTAGAACTGGCACAGATATTCCTCATTTGAAGGTGATATATGCATGAGTCAGAGCCCAGTGTTTGTAGCTGTGTCAGCAAGTGGTTCTACATATGCTGGAAGCAGGTGATACAAATTTTAGGGGAAAGGGAGATAATGAAGGATGAGAAAGCATAAACACAAGGAAAAAAAAATCTCTTACCAGGTTCTTGTTGTATTTTGTGGTTGTTTTTAAACCAAGTTATCTGAGGCTCTGGGACGCCGTTAGCATGACAGTCCAGAGTGGTGGAGCTGCTGATAGCCACCGTGTGGTCACTGAGGTTGCGCAGGAGGTATGGCGCTTCCTGATCTAGTGAAGAAAGAAAGGGACTTGTGATTGCTTGTCAATTTTATTCTTTGATTTTATATGCACATCAACATTATAAGTATATAGAGAAACAGCAAAACTCAGCTGTAAGGTTCATTTGCATTTTGTTCCCTAACTTTCTCTTCAATGGTTAAGCTACTGCTTCCTCTTTAATAAGGTGCTACAGTAAATTGAAATTTGTTAGGACACAGTAATATCAAGGACTATATTCTATATTTTTAGATTTCAATACAAAGATTCTTTGCCTGGCCAACTAGTTTCCTTCCTTTTTTTGAGAAAAGCTTTTCTAAACCCAAGGATTTTGCGTCAGGGGCTATAAATCAAAAACATGATTTTGCATATAGGCTTATAGTGAATTTCTACATAAATATATAGTGTTGTAGTGATGGGCTAATATAATCTTGTATGTATTTTTATTGATGTATCTGTGAGGGCATGTTTGTGTCACTCAACTGTCAGTAACCTAAATCATAAGGCAGCAGACCAAACAGGAGAATTTCTTGAACTTTGAAAGCTTTATTGATTATTTCCTTCCTCCATTCCCTTCCCAAATGCAAGCAACCAAAGGATTAATTCAAGAGGCAGAGGCACAGATTTGTAGTTTTTGCACTATATAATAGTACAAATATTGTATTTTATATTATTTTCTCTTAAAACATACAAATATGATACAATACAATTTACTTTAATAAAATGCCAATCAATATAGTACAACAAAATGATATTTAATACATTAAGATGCAATACATTACAACATTAAAACCCCACACAGGAACAGCAGTACCCCCAAGGCCTCCAATGAGTACAGTGTCTCTGTTTAATGAAGTAGTCAGTCAGTCCTGCTGATGTGTATACATTCTAGTTAGGTGGGTACTGGATTGGTAGCTCAAGCTCCCAAGATAAAAGAATAAAACAACTCCTAATGTCTCTCCCACCCTCCCAAATCATCCCTTTCCCCTCTTGTTGCAAATCCTGGAACAGAAATCAAAAGAGTTTTGGCATAACTTACACATTCTGCGTCACTGGTTTCAATTATACAGTGTGAGCTTTCTCTGACCATTTTTGATTTCCTCAGCTTAGTGTACTAAAACTGTGAAGGCAGCTTACGAGTGATTACAATGCTACAAGAGATGATACATTGCAATGGCTTTGATTCCATGTCCCTGCAGGATTCTGCTGAGTCCCAAAACCTTTCTCTTTTGATTCCTGCAGGGAAACTCTCAGGATTAGCATTCGTTAAAGCAATTTAGAAATCCCAGGTTAAAATGTATATTATCATATAAATTTTATAACATGTTGAAGTAGTATAACATGGTAGAGTTACTATCTGTTAGGAGAAACAGATTTCTCAATAAATTTTGATTTCTATAGCTTATCATTAGTTTTCTCATTTTATAAAAACTGAAATCTGAAGACAAAAAAGATTGTTGAAGGAAGTGCTCTGATTTATAAAAACTTCTTCAAACATAGTGTGGAATAAATGATAGCAACGACCCTTTTGCCTCTTTCAGCATGTCTTTCCTATCTTATCCTGCCCCCCTAAGCAGAACCATTACAATATCAGTTTTTGCATTCTGTGAAATCTGTCAAACAGCTTTTCCTAATTGAAAATGCAACCCTGTATAAAAATTTAAATTTATGATAACTTGTACATGCTTGCTCATTACAATTTTGACATTTTTACACAGTAAAGACTTCAGACATATCAGCGAAACATGACAAAATATAATGAAGAACATTATCATATTACTATTTAGAATCTTTTACAATGGCAAGCCAACTTCAAAATAGCTCATTTAAAACCCAGTTCACTGAGTTATACTTTTAATAGCTTCCTTGAGCACATTTACTATTCCCCATGCATTAAATGTGATAAAATAATCTGTCATTGCCCATAGGTCTTATAAAAAGAAAGTCTGAATACAGGGCCCACAACATTCAAATTATTTTCATAGCCACAAACTGTAACATCAACACAGACAGGATTTGGACTTCCCTGACAGGTGTATTAGAAAACAATGCTTACATAGAAGAGAACATTTTATTTTAACATTAATGTCATGAAGAACTCCCAAAGGCCCTATTTGTACTACACAAACTTCAGACAATAGAAGCAGCAAAAAGGCTGCAGAATAAACATGGAACTCCCAATTAAATACAAGGCTCACATGAACATTCTGAAACATACAGTATTATAAATTTTTCTTTGTACCCATTTCTGGAAAATGTTCTCCTATGTTAAAAGGAGAGTCATTTTTGGCTAGTTTCTAAATGACCCATCAACCTAGGAATCATATTTTATCAATTCCTACTTTATACATTATAATAATCTATTTTGACATTTTAAACATGAAAGGTACATTGAACCTGTATTTGAAAACCTTGATGTTTAAAGTTTCCTGGTGGAAGTAGGTAACAGCTTTCCAAAATTTAACAAATTTAACAAAGTGTAGCTGATCCCTTTAAACCGAGAAAATCAGAATTAACAGGATATTTCAGCTGGTTATCAGTGGCCAAAGATAGCTCCCTACCAGGGTCCCTTACTTTTCAGTGTTATGGCCCCAGGGATCTGCCAGGTCCCACAGATGCAGGGCTTCTGTTCTCCATCTGGAAGGGGACTGAGGAACCAGCCTCACATCCCCTGCTCCATCTTAATTGTTCTGTATTTTAGGCTCCTTTTTTTTTTTTTTTTGTCTTTTTCTTTTTCTCTGTTATTCTCACCCCACTTCATTGCCCAAGGAGTAACAAGAAAGAAAATCCACCCAGTAGTTTCTTTTTTTAAAAACCTCTCCAGAAGGATTAGTTACCTAGTGAGCAATTAATTGCTCTATGGAATTCTTAAAATTATCTCTTGGAAGTACTTAAAATCATCTTCTGTAAATACTAACATCCTCCCTTCTCCTCAAAAACTGCAGTAAGGGGAAGGAAATAGTAGGTTCTGCATGTCCAATTGACCATTTTTTCATAAGCTATCCCTAAATCATTCTGTTTGCTTTTTTAGGCTAGCAAAACTTGAGCCCCTCAAGTTCTGTGGTACTAAGGCATTGTTTCCTGAATGAACACACTGACTTATAATGAACAAAGACACCAGGCCAAAGAGCCATAGGTAAAATTTCAAGATACAATTGATTATTCTTTCCTTTGGGTTGACAACTTCCAGGTGACTAATTGTTTTCAAAGCATTAGGGGCTCCATGCAACTGGCATTCTGGGGAAATGCTATTGTTTACTCTTTCACACTTGACAAAAGCAATTCCCACGTGAAAGACAAGTTTAGCGTGGGACAGAGTCTGTTACCTAAAGGAGGAAACAGCCTGGTGAGTTCCCAAGCTTGAAAAGTTGTCATATTGTCACCTCCTATTGAACTGCCCAGCCACTGTGTTTCTCAGCCATGGCTATTTTGGTCATTATAGTTTTTTTCCTATAGTTCATGCAAGTCACATATAATGATCAATCATAAATTAAAACAACAGAACAATGTACATTAAATTGGTTAAAATGAAAAAGTCACTTTTCCCTCAAATGCAAGCTTAAAACAAGATATTAATTACAGTCTCTCTTGATTTAAAATGGCATGTATTTTTAAATTACTTTGAATTCTGCTTGCATAGTTTTGCCATTTCTTAATCCCTATAAAAATCTTATTAACATTTGCATATGGGAAAGGTAACCTTTTTAATGGATAGATTTTAAATTTACATTTAGAAAAATGCATTAAACCTTTGGTTATAAAATCCTTTATTTCCTTGATAAATTGATTTTGGTACACCTTTGAATGCCATTATTTTAACATGATAAAGTTCTTTAAAGGAATAACCAGGGAACAAGAATATTTAATATTAAGGCATGATCCACTTTCTTTCAGGTGCTGTTGGTAGCTGTGCAGTCCAGTCAGAGGCAGTGAGGAGGAAATCTTTTGCTGGACTAGTCTATGTGGTACTAATTGCATAATTATCTAGATTGCAGGAGAGGAGGGAGGTGGATTTGATTTCGGTGGATTCTCATAATTCACACCTTGATAAAGCTTTACTATTTCCCAATTACACCAACATCTTACACCCCTGGGGCCCATTTTAGAAGCTCCAGTTTGAGATTAATATGCTTAATGTAAAATAAAAAAGCATTTTCAAATAAATAAGCATTATAACTTGCTATCCAGGTGCTATTTACAAATCAAGAGCAGATGAAATAGTACAAAATAAAACCAGGCAGAAGTCCGACAGAGTCTCAAATTCAACTGTACTCATTCTGAGCTGGAAAATTAACTTATTCATGTCCATCTTTGGCAGAAACCAGCATTTGTTTAAATTATTCAGTTTGTGCAGCTTCAAAACTTAAAAGTAAAAAGAGGTTGGCATCAAAGTGGAAGGAAAGTATCAGTCCCAAGTTGTTGTTTATCAGGCAGGAGGAAACAGCAAGAGCAAAAACACAAAGAATGCAGTGCAGGGATCCTCCAAATCCAAATGCGCACCAGGTTGGCCCCAGAGAGCAGACCCCTTGGCCTCAATGGGGAGCCCAGAGCTGGGACCTGGGGGTCTCATTATTACTGCTATCATCTCCGAACTCATTTTGGGAGGAACATCTCCTCTGAGCCTGAAAGTTAGCAACAGTGACAATAAATCAAGATGATATGAGACAACTGTTACTTTTCAATGAGTCCTTTAATGTTTTACATTACTTTGTGTGGTACAATCATTCCTTGTGCTTTTAAATTTGGAGATCCGAGAGAAAACAGCCTTTTTGTTGCAGTGCTCACCTCTAATTGTCACTTCTTTCTTCTGAAGGATTTCTTCCCCTGTGTATACATTCCTGGCTCTGCAGGCATAGGTGCCTGAATCTTCCAGGGAAACATTCTTGATGATGACATTAAGAGTAATGGAGTACTCTTTAGTGACAGCCATCTTTTGCTTGCTAATACTGTGGTGCATCGTTCTGTTATTAACTGTTCGCAGTAAAATCCAAGTAATGTCTCTGTATAAGAACTTGTTAACTGTGCAAGACAGTTTCAGGTCCTCTCCTTCTGTAGGCATTTTTTCCAAGTTAACATGAAACCCATTTGGCACATCTATAAAATAAGAATGAATAACTTCAGTTCATAGAAAAACCAATGTCTCATAATGAGATATTCAAAGATCTTAAGAATTGTTCCTACACAAATTCTCTTAGTATCAGCATTTAAAAAGATGAGTATTTATCTTTTTATTTTAGAGTAACTGATCAAATATGGCAGGTAGAAGTTCATTCTATCAGAAATGAGGTAGGAAATGCAAAACGGGTCAGTTATTAGGATGGTACTTTCGCCTTATTTCCTCAAACTTGCTCCTCAAAGTGGAATGTTTTTTCCAACTTGGGATGCTAACTTTGTTTCCCATTTCTTTATCATGCACAGTACTCTTACTGGAAGGTGGACATGTGAAGTGGGCAAAATAATGAAGTAACATGAGAGCAATTTGTACTAAAAGCCAAAGATGCATTTATGGTCAAACTTATCCAAAATAGCTTGCAAACAAGTGAGAATAGGAAGTCTTAGGTACCTGCCAATCAACACCACTTTGATTCTAAACTTTTCTAGTGAAAAGCAATGGTCCCTCACTACCCTCCTCTTGATGCTCTCCCAGGTTACTTGCCCTGGTCTTTGGTGGCACAGTGGGCCAGAGAACCAGCTGACTTGCTGGTTTATGGTGATGCTTCTACTCAGACATAAAAAAGCAAAGATTTCTTCTGAAAATCCAGACAATCTGGAAGAGTTGCCATACTACAAAGTGGGTGTGATGGGAGATGGGGAGAGAATAATTTAAAAAATCAAATTTATTCTCAAAAACATTGTAAACATGCTCTGAAAGTGACTGTGTCATTAAAAGCCACTTTTTTTCAATGTCAATTCCCAGTTAACCTTCATCTCCATCTCCCAAGTCCCTTTAGCAACACCTGATGAGCCCTCCTCTTCAGTATTCCTACCCTGGGCCATCATTTAACTTTTGGGCTGAGAGTTCCTTAGTATCCTTTTGGACCATTTCACCAGAGAATTTTAAAAAATCATTGGTTACTGGCCCTGAACTGACCTGCTCTCAAAGCCCTCCAATTGCTTAATACTAGTGGTGTATCTGTATTTACGCAAAGAATTTGGGCCAACATTTTACAAAGTGCTTTGAAGATGAAAAGCACTATGTTATGCTATTCTTATTATTATCTTTTGCACACAAAGCTATAAAGAAACCTTTAAACCTTAAGGGGACAATAGTCCAAAATTAGATATCATATCAACTCTTTCCTAAATCTCACTTTGCTTGTTTTTCTGATTTTTCTGGGCTTTGGCTTTATTATAAAGTGTCACGTCTGAAGAAATGCCAAAGTATTCATTTGAAACCTGGGAGTGGGGGTGTAATAGTAGTTTATGAAGCTGTCAATGGTTGAAGAGAGAGGATACCAGTGGAGGTTTTTCTGCTTTTAAAATGAAAATCTAAGAATGTGCCAGAAGATGCAGGAGTAGCTGACAGTCATTTTTAACATAACAATAAGGTGTCAGAAATAGCTCCTCTAATTCAGCATCTTTTTATATTTGGGACATTTTCCAAGCATGAGGAGTAAAAAAGCCATCAACTTTTACACAGATATTAGAGCAGGGGTATTGTGCACTGGTTGCAATCAAATCATTTCTTACAAGACCACAGACTTTCCATTTATGAGGTCTCATCCTGGTAGTCAGAACCCAACCGAGCCCAAGTAACACCATTGAGATCATGTAGAGAGTTTCTATTTACTTTAGTGATTTGAAACTTCCTGTGGAAATAGCTCACAGGTTTCCTGATGGAAGATTTTGTTTATCTTTGCCAAGCACCACCAGGAATCTCAAAATAAAATGCATTTAGTGACATTGGGAAACCAGGGAGATAAGGCAGTGCTGTTCCTGTTTCACCCTCGGTAATTGCTAACACACCCATAGTCATGCTGAGTGCCAGCAAAACAGCAAAAACACACAGATAGAGAAAGAAAAGTACCAAATTCATTTTGAGCCCTGTTTCTTATATGGGGGACCTGGTTACTGAAGCTAATTTGATTTATGTTATCAGGTAGCCTCATAGAAATGATTATTTCCCAGTATAATCTCTTTGGTATTCTCTTTTGATCCATGGAAGATGATAATGTCCTCAACTGTTTAATGAACCCAGAGGGATTTTCCCCTTAATTCATGTTGACTTTTTTTTACTCTGAGTACAAAAACAGACCCAAGAAAGAATTGGCTTCTAACCCTCAAAATGAAAACATAGAAGTCTTCCCACACTTAAGTATCTGTTGCAGATTCAGCACAATCATTGTCACCACCAAATAACACTCATCCATCTAACACATAGCACATCCATGGCATCTTATGAGGTGTTGGGGAGAAGAATCAATCCTTGCTCAGAAGAGACATTCAGCTTAGGGTTAGGAGAAAGAATTGTCTATTTATAAAGGTGCATAGGAGTAGACATTTTGACCTGATTGAATCAGACGTGTGGATTAAGTTCATGAAAGAGACAGGCATAGAAATTCATAGGGATGAAAGGGATCATTTGTCAGGTAGAAATAAAGAAGGCTTTGCTTCCACTAAAGAATGGAAATAACATTCTCTAAAATAAAAGTAAGTGGTTACTAGGAAGTTTGACTTGTTTGAAGTAGATTCCATGTACAAGTGAGTGCCAAAGTTTGAAGTTGAGGTAGTTGAGGATTCTAATGGCCACAGTTAACCAGTTCTCATCAATTCAGAAGCAACTGTAAGTTACAGTATTTTAAGGAAGCGGCAACATGACTACAATGAGGTTCAGATCCAAATCTAGATCTTTAGAGCATTAACATTTTAGACAGGTACTTTTTAAAAAATAGAACAAAAACACGTTTTTAAAAACAAATACAGTTTTTAAAAACTAAACAAATACACGTTCATATTCTCAGAAAATGCACATGTAAGGTGCATGATTCCTAAGAATAGTCTCATCTCTAGTGAGAATAAATCTCATTAACAAAGATTTGAGGAAGAAAAAACAAAATAACTGGTTAAAAATAAATAATAAATGTAAGCAAGTTCATCTAGTGTCACTAATCAAAACTAGAACTTTTCAGGAGTGGTAGAAAAGAATTCAGAGGAAGTACATTCCTGGTAGTGGGAGCTTGACTGGCTGAACTTGTGTTCAGTTGTAAGATTAAAGGTCTTGTCTTTATAGAGGAAAAGTATTATAGCTTCAAGTAGCTATGTTTGAACTGAATTCTCATTTTTCCTTTCTATGGATAAGCCCAGGGACCTAGAACAGGTTTCAAATGCTCCATGGTTATAAATTGTGTAATGTAGTGAGAGGTGGGAGGGAATTTCTGCTGAATCCAGCCAGTGATCAACTTTATCAGCTGGGGCCCTTTTAGCAACAATACCATACATAGTAATATGATGCAGCAATGAAAAACTCAATGGACGGCCAGATGTTGGTGCTGTAATAAATGCTAGGCATCACTTAACTTTTCTTGGGAACGCTGAATAATAAGGAAGTGAGCATGATGTTCCCCTCTGCTCTTGGCACATCCTCTTATAGTGCTGTCTTCAGACCAAGGCAAGAAGTCCCTGTCCTGGGCCGTTAGATGGCTCTGTTCTGGCAGTCCCCCTACCCATAATGGGAGGAGTCTATGGGGCCAAGTGTACATGCCTACCCAGAGCCTGTGTCACTCTATTCCTACATCATGCTTGGGGGTCCCTGCGATTTCAAAATTCCCTATAAACATGATCTCAAGTCTGCTTCCAGCTTGGCTCAGTCTTCTTCCCTAGGTCTGGCCTCTTGAGATCAGACTGCTTGTTGGTGTGTACACCTCTAGGTCCATCCAAGAAGTGGACATGGGAAGAATTTGTGAGGGGCATGTGGAGAATTTGGATGTGTGTGCTGGAAAGACCACACACATGGGATCATGGCCCCTTGTAGTGTGCAACAGAGTGAAGGGTGGCAAGAGGAGATGGGTGATCCAGTCCTTCTCCATTGCCAGGTGTTACTACAGTCTGCTCTGGAACTCTGAGTAGTCCTCAGTTCTAACCTTATCCTAGCCTTTCAAGTCATCATGAAAGTTTATTTGTCCATAGGTGGCTGAAACATATATTAACTGCTTGTTTGCTTGATTTAGAAATTGTCAGTAGTTAGATACATGGTTTGTGGGCCTCCACTGGTACTCTTGCCTTGGCTCTGAAAACATCAGGGCAACCCTGTCCTCTTCTTTACTTATTCACATTCCACTCCTCTCCCTGTCACCCCAAACTGCCACGAATCCTGCCTCCTTCCTTAGAGCTGCACTGTACAATATGGTACCCATGAGCCACGTGTGGTCTTTGAACACTTGAAATGTAGCTAGTGTGATTGAGGAACTGAAGTGTATTCATTTTTTTAATTTTATTTAAGTTGATTTAAATTTAAACACTGAAGCAATAGTGTGCTACTTTTTAAAATTTTGATTACATGTTGAAATTATAATATTTTGGATATATTGGGTTAAATAAAATGAATTTTACCTTTTTTTAAACTTATATTTCTATCAGACATCAATAGCTTTAGGGAGTCAGTTCATTTACTACATTACTTCTGCATATACTTTAATTCTGGGATATGTGTCATTTATCATTTCTTCTTTGTATTCTTGGTGTGAGAACTGTCTTCCTAGAAAGACAAGGCTTTATTGATGTCCCTTCAAGTGCTCAGTACAGAGGTGAACTGTACTGTGTAATGGTGCTCATTAAACTGCAACAAACTTGTGGAATGTTCAGGACAGAACAGGCATTGCTCGTTCTGTTGTGCTCTCAATCAGGCATACAGCGACTATAGACTTGGAGGGTGACTTGCTTCCAAGCAAATATAAAGAACAATAGAAACTTCTGTATTTAATTACTCCAAATCATCTGAGATTTATTAGAGAACCAGCCTGTGTGAAATCTGTCTGAATCCTCTAAATAAGGCCTGTTTCTACTGGGGATGAATGCAAACATGATTTCCCTTCTGTTTCTCCAACGTGAGAGAGACTGACTTCGTCTAGAGCGGCTCTGCTGTGCACCCCTCCACCTCTCCAAATCCCATTCCTCATCTGGAGAACATAGGAGCCGTAATACTGAGTCGCCTCCAGAGTCTCTTCTAGCTCTGACACTATGTGAGAGTCTACTCCAGGCTATCTCCCATGGCACAGCTTGTCTGGGGCGTGGCTCACTTGCCCAAGGCCTGTGATTTGACAACCCACATGTCTTATGAAATTGGACTTGCCTATTTCTTTCTGGAGACCCCTTGGCAATTTCTGCAGCCTGCCCTGAGCAGTGTGGTTTCCAGAGAGCTGGCAGACCGCCCAGGTTTCCTCAGCAATTGGGGGAGTGTGGAGCCAGGCAATTGTTTTCATACTTTGAGCTACTTACTTCCTTCCTGTACCCATGGAGTGCCATTTGTGTACCTTGGAGGTTTTAAGATTTGCAGACACCATCATATTTAAGGCTAAAATTTCTTAAATGCTATCAAAAAATAGCCCATTAACTATTGTTAATAAAGCTCACTTTGAGATTTCTATGGGAGAGCTTCATTCCCCAAAAAGTCTATTATTACCTAAATTGTGAAACAATTAGCTTCTTAGTTAAAAAAAATACCATGTCATCATATGTATTATAATTGATTTCCTTGATTGTTATTGAACAACTGCTGTATGCCAGACCCTCTGCTAGTACTAAAGGGAGTTAAAAAATCAACATGCAAGATCCCAAATTCACAATCCAGTCTGGGAGGGAGCCATACACAAATAACTCTGAAAGAGAATTCAGGGAAATAACAGTTTAGGAGATCCAATGATGTAGAATTCTATTCCTGAGAGCAAGGATGAAAGTACTCAAAGTTTGACAATTCTATGGAATGCTTTTTTTTTTTTTAATCACTCATGCTATAAGTACAATAAAAGCAAACAAGGTTGAAGAGGGACTGAGGTCACCAGGCTGTCTGTGGGTATAGGATGTGTGGCTTACCTGTGATATAAAAGCTTATGTTTCTTTCCACAGTCCCTACTTTATTGGAAGCCATGCAACTGTAGATTCCAGAAAGTCTAGAGTCAGCTACAACCAAGGTGCTGGCCGTCTGCAAAAGAAAAGGAAGCTTTAGCTAGCAATAGGACAAAGACCTATTTGAACATCCCTAAGCTACTGCAGAGTTCTGAAATGATTCAGCTATTCCATTCATTCAGCAAGGACAGTATTGCATGGGTGGTGGTTCCCAGAAAGCTCTCCCCTTGCCGAGCCCCAGCAAGAATGGAAAAATAACAGGAAAGCAGGTCCTCAGGAGACCGGGGCCTATGACATCCGACTCATATGAGGGTTTCAGTCTTATTTATCTCATGCTGCTGGCGTAACAATTACAGACCCGAAGTCGAGATGTGGGACTGCACGTCCTACCCTACGAGGTGGTCAGTTCCACGTCAATGAGAGGAACAGGTGAGGCTGAGGCCTTCCCTTTTGTTTGGGTGACCTGAGAGCATGGATGCCATTTGGGAATAGGACCTTTTTCTGCTGTTTGGTTCTGTAACAGGCATGTTAAGTGAGCAAGCACAGAAGAGAAAGTTTGGCTGAACCATTTTTTTTAATGTGCTCAAATAATGTGGTATGCAGCCTCGAATGGTCCTGAAGGGGACTGTGTGTGTGTTTGTAAATTACGTAATTTCTCAGTTCTGTCAATTCCTAATCAGAAAATGAAGATAGAATTTATGAATTAAAATAACAATACTATTTCACTAGATTTTAATGCTGCTATTTGACATCTCTTAGCCTCAAAGAAACTAGTAGTCAAGTTTGCATGAACTTGAAAGCACTTTTCAAACTGTGCTATCTAAAAAGTAGTGAAACAAAGTAATGAAACAAAAATTTAGACAGCTTAAAGATTTGCATTGTCTTCTGTTAAAGAAAAGAATTAGCAATTTGAAACAAATTATTCCTTTTTTTTTTTTTTTTTTTTTGAGACAGAGTCTCACTCCCTGGCTAGAGTGCAATGGTGTCATCATAGCTCACTGTAACCTCAAACTCCTGGGCTCAAGTGATCCTCCTGCCTCAGCCTCCTGAGTAGCTAGGATTACAGGTGCACACCACAATACCTGGCTATTTTTTTCTATTTTTGATAGAGATGGGATCTCACTCTTGCTCAGGCTGGTCTCAAACTCCTGAGCTCAAGCTATCCTCCCGCCTCAGCCTTCCAGAGTGCTAGGTGTTAAGCGTTCTTAAATTTAACCCAACCTTGCATAAAAAGTAATGCATCTGTATGAAAAAAATGAAAAGGCTAGTTTTTTCATACCTAAAATTATGAAAAATAAAGTTGATCCAGTTTCTTATAAATCTTTGTAGCCTGTCTCCTAGGACATGAATAACTGGTTATGGGCTTTGAAATTGTAGAGGCTATATTTATGCCTCTAGGCTAATAAGGTGTCCTAGCTGAAGAATGATGATCAAGTGGCTTACAGCCTAAAGCAGTGTACAGGTTGAAATGTGGCAGTGGACTTTCCAAGGTGGTGAACTTATTGTATAAATGGCTTGGCCATTAAGAAGAGTCCTAACATTTTCTGAGTTTCTAAATAATGTGCTAGGCACTTTACTTGTGTTCTCTTATCCCATCTAATAAATTAAGGTATTTCTGTCTTTAATCTATAAATCAGAAAGACTTAAAAACATGCTCCTAGTTTTTTTAGCCAGTAAATTCACTGGTTCAAATTCTCAGTAATTTTCACAGGTTATAGTGGATATTACACAATGCTTTCTCTTCTGTTTGTTGGAAAGATGTGCTTAATGACATCCACCTATATATTCTTTGTGTATTATTGAAATTATTGGTAGTGAAAATATCTGCAATAGGTGACATTTTTTAGTTTAGCAGACATTTACTGAGTGATTATCAAGGAGTTGCCTTGATGTTATAAGGGAGACAGAGATGAATATGACATAATCCCTGCCCCTAAAAACCTTTGGGGTGATAGAGAATTTCCTTACCTGAAGCTCAAATGTAAATTATTCCCTGTTTTTCAAGGAAACACTCCTGTGAAGGCAAATAACCCATGAGGAAGAATATGAAAGAGAACTCAGGTACCTCCTTTCTTATTTTGATTATTAATCTTTGTAAGAGGTGGGACAGCCACTTCCTTTAAATTATTGTACCCACCACATTAGAGTCATGGAAAAAAATGGAAGTAGTTGGAGGAGAAGCTGCTAGGTGGCAACATAAAGGATGCTGGCTGGTGGCAGCTTGATGGGCAGAGATCATCAAATAAGACTCTGGTTCCCTCATGTTGTCTCAGGAAGCTTGGGCTCAGGTGCTTCAAAGCAGTTTGCAACAGGTCAGAAACAGGGAGCTCAAATGCAGCCTTCCCATGCTTGCTCCAGCACTGTTCTTCTTAAGAAATTAGTTCTCAAGTGTTTATCATAAAGGGCCTAAGTAGAAACTTGCTTAGATTCTCGGATTTATTGTTGCTCATTAAATAAGTGGAAAGCTCAATTCTGTTGGCTTGAGATTATTTGAAATTATAAATAGCAATTACCTGCATCCATAAGTTATGTTTGGGTTTTTATAAAAATGATGTTGATTTTGCTAAATTCAGAGCAACTGAAAACATTTCATGGCAAGGGAAAGTCGATTCAGATGTACCCATTTGCCATACTGAGGACCTGTGCAGGTAATCTGGGCATGGCTGTAGCCATTTTGCGGGTCTCCCACAAAGAGTCAGGTAAGTTGAAATTTTTGTACCATCAGAGAATAAAATTGAGGTACCCAGAAGTGAAATGAATCCAGGTTACGTGATAAATGATGGCGATAGAAATGCCTTAGAGTCTTTCTTCTGTTGCCTGAGTGATGCCTTCTAAAACAGCTCATTACCCACAGTCAAGCCTGCCCCAGAGCTCACCTCTCCAAAGCTTCTATTAAAATAGAAGTAGAAAATGATGTTGATGGGAATTTACATTATTTCTTTGTTTCTGGGTACCTTTATGTGGCCTTTGCTATGTACCAGACAGTATGAAAAGCGCTTTGCAGGCATTATCTCATTTAAATCTCCCTATAACCCTATGAGATGGGTGTATTACCCTGTTCTATGGATAAAACGACTGAGGTTTATAGAAGTTAAGTGATTCACCCAAAGACACACAGAATCACCGACAGGCCTGGGCACAAATTGCTTCTTGCCTTAAAACTCTTTAAAGTAAATAACACAGATCTATTGGTAAAGTTCTTTCTACTCTTTGAATTGGTTTTTTTCTTGAGAATAATCCTTTAATCAGCAGAGATGGATCACATAAGCTAAATGCCACTACGTACAGAAATGCTAGTTTCCTTCTTTGATAGCATGTTACATAAGCTCCAAGTTGTGTTTCAATTGATATAATGTTATGTGGTTTGAAAATACTAATGAAGGAAAAGGTTATAATTAAAGAAGAAAATTTTAAAAATAAAGTAGAACTTATATACTGTGGTCAACTTTACTAAAAATTATCTGATTTCTAGAGTACTTCTCTGCTTTCAGAGGATATATTTTTAAATTATAAATTAAAACATATTTTCATAAGAAACAAAAGATATTTGACAACCAAAGTTTAAACTTTATACGGTCAGAAAAAGGACCTCAACTATGAGTTGTAGGTAACTGTATTTGGCTGGACCAGAAGACAACTTCTAAGAGGACAGTAAGTTTCAATGTGTCAGTCTTCTAAGTTAAAGGGACAAGTCTGTTCCCAGTGCTCATAACTATGGTTTCAAGGGGGAGAAAAATGAAAATAGCAATAACAATTGGAGCAACAAATATCAACTAAATAAAAGAGAAAGTGCTAAGAATTTCAGTTCTAATGTATGTTTGAAATTATAATCATTTATTTAATAGGGTATACAAAAAAATTCTCGAGGATATATGCTTGTATTAGTTCTATAATTAATTTTCATTTTCCACAATTGAAATCCAATGAAAGAGGACTGAGGATGAGAAAGTGCCAAAATGAAATTAGAATATCAAAGTTCTTATCAGTCAGGAGATAAGAAGTAACAGTTCTTTCACATCTACTTAAAATTCACAGTGCCTCATTATTGAGGACAAACACGTCAACCTACAACATTTTAAAAAACTCTGTTCTGTGGTTGGTTTAATAGTTTGGGATAAGCAGCTATTCAGTGAGGTTTCCAGCTCAGTGTAATTCTATACTCTTAAAGGTCGCATATCTTTTTACTCCTCATTTTTACTGCTTGTACTTTTGGGGTGCTTCCACTTGGCCTGTGCAGACCTTGAGGATGTAGATATTAGAAACAGATCCTTCAAGTCCATTCTCTGGGCTCTTTTGTACGAGCCAGGAATGCTCATAAAGCTATCGTTAAGTACTGTAAGTTTGCAGTTTCTTCATGCTCCTTCCTTCCTTCCCTTTCGCTAAGCATTAGTAATTTATTACTACCATGTCGTTTGAACCTCACGGAACAGAATGGATGGGATGATGTGTCATTCTACTTAACTTCCAGCACTAGTTTTTGAGAAATCTATATATGGAACAATGATTTTAATCTCAGGATATTTCTAATATAGTTTCCTTTTAAGTGTTTCAGGGAGAAATAAAAGTAGATGTGTAAAGGTCATGGGAGAATCTAAAATTAACATAGGGTGGCACATTTGAGCCAGTTAATGGGCAAATAGAATGTGAGAATTAGAAAAAAACTGGTGTGTGTGTGGGAACTGAAACACAAGCTATAACTCTGTGATCAGTATTATTGCTTGAGTAATGAATTTGTCTCATACAGTACACATACTTATCAAGGTGCAGTCAAAATGATTTCAATGGAAATGTTGCTAAAACATTAAAATTGTCACCATTCTCCAGCCATACAGAATTAATGCTGTGATATGGATTTCCTGTATGTTTTTTCTAACACAGGATTTCTTCTACTTCCTACTCCGTATCTACAAACCCAACAGTGTGGCAACCCCATTTAAACAATGCGAAAACCCTACATTTGTTATTAGCAACTCCAATTGATGACTCACTTTTCACAAATCTGGGCCAAAACTTACCAATAAGGAAACTGAATCGTTTTGTCCTCTATACCCTTGAGTTAAACAAACAAAAAAGGAAACGAAGAAAAAATTTCGACAGGTGCCCCAGCGTGAGTGTGAGTACTGCCCCACTGATCTGTAGGGTGGCATTACTGGGCAGGCTAACTATGTGCCAGTGGATAAAGGGATAACCACAGTTTAAATGGGGTCTTTAATTTACTTTCTAAAAGTATACAGAAAATAAGAACAATTTTAATTGTAAAGGAAAGAGTGCTGCATATAATTCAGAAATAGCAAAACTTCCATTTGTCACCATCATATGAAAGATATCTTTTTTCCACATACACAAAAAGATATATTAGTAGATACTAAAAGTAAAATTAGCAAATTCTCCTAAATTCAGAACATGAAATCAATAATTTACTTACAGTCTAATTATAATGACAGCTGTTAGGCTGTGCACCCTATATAACTTTGTTTAGCAAGAATATTAAACGTTTTTTTAGTGCAAACAATAGTTTAACAAAGTCTTCATTGTATATGATCACAGTCAGTTTGGGGAATTATAGTAGGGTATGTATGACAGTCACTTTATTAAAATAGTCTTTGTATAGGGCTGTCTCATGATATTTTTTCATTTCATCTTTGTAACAAGAAGCTAGGTAGGGCAGATATCATTTGCTCCATTTGTTTTTTTGGAGGAGAGAATTCAGGTTGAGAGAGGTGAACTGATTTGCATGTCATTATACAGACAGAAAGTGCCAGAACTTGACCATGGGGCTCCTGTTGGCAGGTTAGGTGGCACAAGTGCCAACTGTGTACAAAGGTCTATATTTGAAATCTTCTGCATGACTATAAAATTACAAGACAATAAATTTGTTTCAAGTATGCATGGAAAAAATTAAGGATGTTCTTTTATCTCAGCCAGGTTTTTTTATTCCACTCCAACCGTTTTTGACCGGTATTATGTATGGAGTCAGGCTGCTACTTCATGGTTCACACTAACCGGAAACCTCACCTAGCTTTCTCAATTTCCATTTTATTTTCTACTGTGTATTTTTGTGGATAGAATACTGAAATAGAACTGGAAGTTACTACTGAAATTATGTGCATAAATTTTTGTTTAAATATCTAGCTGTGAACAGTATAGTCACTTGATATATATAGTTAGGAAAAGGCAAAATGAATTGATACATCAATGGCATCTTGAAATTTTTCTAGCATTTGTGACAACTAACTGTCTACTGCTAGTAAACTGAGGCAATTTCCTTTTTACAAATATGTAGTATCACCCATTTTAAACTTTCAAGTTTATAGAATTTCCTCTTTTCTAAGTATTTCATTAAACTGCTCTCTCATCAATAGCTACACATCATGGAATGTTTAACACCATTGCTTATTTGTGTTAGACAAGTGATTGTTGATGTTATATAAACCATTACCACTTTAGCTAATTTCTGTATTGGCTTAGTTGACCATGTTAACTGGGTTTTGGAATAGGAAGACTTTAGTTTGAATTTCTCATTTACACTTTTAAGTTGTGTGGCTTTGGTTTTATCAACTTATCACCCCAGTTTTCTTATCTTTAAAATGGAGATAACCACTCTGGCCTGGCTAAGGATGATGTTGACATTAGCATATGTCAAAAAGTTTTACATAATGTAAAATACAGATGTTATTTGTTGTTATTGTGAAATCCTACATGAAGAATGATGTCATCTACTTTGTCATCTTCAAATGCAAAGAATACAGCTGAATAAATAGATAGGGTAAACATAACCACACTCCAAGTAGACATGGACACTATATTAATAGTCTCTACTCCAAATCAAGATATGCATGTGTAAATAGGCATTTTAGCAAGGGGCAATTTAATATTTTTTTTCTTTTTTAAAGAATCACTATCCCTGTGCTGGACAATAGCACATTTTCAAGGATATTTTTTACTAATTCAACAGGACAAAACCACTAGGTCTGAGAGGCACTGAGACTTGTGAGGTTCACAGGCTTGTTACCTATTGTCAAGGCTCAGTGGGGGTTAGGGGAATTGAAAATGAATGGCATACTGATTAGGTCAGGAATCTTGATAGAGAATGTGTGTTTGCATATCCCAATTTAGGCTTTGCCCTTGCAAAGAAAGATAGAAGGAAAAACATGACATTTCATGAAATGGAGACATTCAATTTTAGCCTTACGTCTTGTACTAGCTTTTCTTACTGGGACCCCACTTTATGTTTGTCATTGCTTCTCAGTCCTGGTTATTTACTAGATCAGCAGGGAAGCTTTCATGAGCCCTGGGCTCAACCCCAGAGATTTAGACATAATAGTAATTGGTAAAGTATTCTAATATGTAGCTAGGATTGAGAGGCACTGACATGGACCAGTTTGAAGTTCAAGAGGACAGCTCCACCTCTTCCATTAGGAACAAGTACTCATTTTCTTCGAACTGGTGGTTGGTTGGAGAATATAGCAGCTTGAGTAGTTTCAGTGTATATCTCCATGAAGATATAGCTCAGATATTGCCTTTCTTCTCTCTGAATTGTTTGAAAATGTGAATTACTTCTGGTTCCAAAAAAACTAGAACTGGGAGCTGAGAGTGTATTTTTAGAATAAATATCCCAGCACTCATTTTTACAAACAATACCTTATTCTTTCCTTCTATTATTGCCATGCGCTGAGTGATGCTCTCAATTCTGTTTCCTATGTTGCTGTCAGGACCCAGGATAAAGGGCTCTTCATTATTGGAACAAAAGTCATACCTATTAAAAAAAAAATAAGTCATCACAATGTTGCTTAGCAGCATGGTCCAGCCAATGCCAGTGGTGACGAGTGAAATGAAAACCATTGGATAAGTCTTCAGATAACAAAGTCAAAAATTTTATGTGAATCTTCTTTCTCTTAGATTTTTTTCCCGTATATTCGTCCTCAAAACTTAAAAATAGCAAATATATTTGCCCAATATGAGAAAAACCCCATACCAATGTGCCACTTTATAACCTTCTTGTTCTAAATGTTAAATATTAAATAAAATGCATAAATTAGAAAATTAAATATCTAGATTTTAATTAGTCCCTAGTAGAAGTAACATGCAAACATAGGGAAATAAATGAAATTATATTAATGAATGGAAACCTTGAGAAAATAACAGCATTTCACATCTATAGAAGGCTGGCTTTTCATCAGAGTGTTCAATTGTACAGCAAACTTTTCCCAGGGTTAATTAAATGCATATGGAAACAAATAGCATGAAGCAATTATTAAATTCAGTCTATTTCTGTTCAAATTTTGGCATATCATGGCAAGCTCTTTAACTACTCAGGCCTTAAGTATATACATATAAAATAAAGGTGTTGATGTTGTTTACCTTTAAGGTCCATAAAATCTCTCTCTCTTTCTCTTTATTTGAAACATTTAGTCATTTTGCATTCTTACCTTCTGGACTAGAATTTTTGGTGAGCAGAAAGCTTGCTGGTCTCTAATTTGTACATGTTTTGGGCAGGTTCTAGAGATTTTCAGAGCAAGAGGAATTTTAAAGCCTAATTTCCAGAAACAATGCGTAGTTCATCTTAAGTAGGCGAAAGCAGTCATGACTTATGTGAGAAGAAAGTAAGGGAAAATGGAAGTGTGAAAGAAAGGTAAGATAAAAGGGATTGTGGTCAGAAAAAGTTCTGTTATTATTCCTTTCTGGTCCTTGGGCTAGGAAAAGAACTCCAGAATATTAAACTTCAAGTCTGCTGGATCCGGCTCCTCTCCCTCACGCCGTGTGCTCTGCAACGTCCCCTGCAAAGTACTCACCACCTTTTAGCATCCACTTAATGCCACTGGGACAACAGCTACCGGAGGACAAGGGCCAAATCTGCTTATTCACTCTGTCTCCATAGCTAAGCAAGGGCCTAGCATGTAATTGGCTTTCCACAGACTTTTGTATACATACCGACAGGCACCAGGTACCTGATCTGTTGTTTCTGGTAAGAGTTTTCATGTGTTTTAATTGTTTATTGTTTTCAAACATACTGAGAAATACAGAGTATAATGTGATAAACCCCATATACCCATTACTCAGATTTCACTCAGAGTTTGTCACACTTGCTTCACCTATCTCTTATTTCTTCTTAGATTTTTCTTTTGTGAAGTATTTTATTTTATTTTATTTTATTTTTTTGAGACAGAGTCTCGCTTTGTTGCCCAGGCTAGAGTGAGTGCCGTGGCATCAGCCTAGCTCACAGCAACCTCAAACTCCTGGGCTCAAGCAATCCTGCTGCCTCAGCCTCCCGAGTAGCTGGGACTACAGGCATGTGCCACCATGCCCAGCTAATTTTTTCTATATATATTAGTTGGCCAATTAATTTCTTTCTATTTATAGTAGAGACGGGGCCTCGCTCTTGCTCAGGGTGGTTTTGAACTCCTGACCTCGAGCAATCCACCCGCCTTGGCCTCCCAGAGTGCTAGGATTATAGGCGTGAGCCACCTCGCCCGGCCTTGTGAAGTATTTTAAAACAATTTCCAGACCTCTTGTCATTTTAATCTTACATACTTAAGTATTTCTTAAAAATATACATATTTTTCTAATGAAATCACATGCTACTTTTATACCTGATAGAATTAGCAATAATTCCATGGTGGTGTTTATACCTAGCCAATATGTCAGATCTCACCAAATGTTTTTTAAAATATCTGTTTTTAAAGTTAGATTATAAGATTTCAAATAAAAAAGAATAAGAGCTAACCATTTTTTAGGGAACTTCTGAAATATCTAATAGCTATTCCTTATACTCAATAAGTAAAATAAATGAATATTTTACCCCATATTGATTAATAGTGATAACTGAACCAAAGAGAAATTATATACTTTCTCCTTTTTAGAAATATTTTAATGATAATGTTTTTAAATCATTATGTAAAAGTCACTTTGCCCTATTTTTCATTATCAGTATTTTCCATTTTCTAGATAATAACATCCATACCTTAAACTTCTATTTGACTTTCTTTCACACAAACTCAGTACATGTATGAGTATATGAAATATCTATGTATACACATGAGTGCACCTAGATTAGACATGTGCGTGCATTCTTGGGATTGTGACATTGAACAGCTGAAGTCCCCAAAGCAATGAAAAAGGTAAGAGAGGCCTTAGTCAAAGATCTTAATTTCATACACTGATTCTTCAGGAAATGCAGAGAAATACATTAGAGTAAAAAGCAAGTTGAGGTATTTCCCAAGGGAAATACAGTCTGCTGTCTGAGATCACTTGGGGCTGTTGACCTCTGACACCCCCCACCTTCCCCCATGGCCCAACTCCCCGCCCACGGCTCTAAGTACAGTTACTAGCTACATAAGCCCTAGCATGGAAGCTATAGGCCAGACTTTCTGCCAGGCCCTCCAAATGAACAGGACAGATTCTATGGCTATTTTCTAATTTAGGGGCTGTTATTTTTCCCTCTTTGTAATTGGAACCATAAAAATAGAATGTCATTTAGGAGCCTTACTCTATAACGGCACTTGAAAAGAGATTTAGGGGGAGGGGAATTTGCCTGAGCCTTAAGAATACATCAAGCTCTTAAGGAAGTAGATTGTGCCATGTTTGAAGATGCAAAGATAATCACTGTGCTGGGAACCTTCTTGAGGGGGGAGGAAGCTGAACAACAAGAGGAAAGCAGCTTCGCTCCTGATTTCGCACAGGAAGTCCACAGTGCCGCCTGCCAAAGCGAGATAAGAAAGCTCCCATGCACTATTCTGGACAAGGCCACTGTTATCAGCTTTAGCTCGGTGCTGTCCTCTCTATGCTCCAAGCTCTGTCCCTTTCCTAATGAGCTTTAGGACTCCTGCCTCCATTTGCATACGGCACGCCAAGTACAATAGCATGGAGGTATTTATAGCCAGTAAAAGGAAAAAAAATTCTGGGGTAAGAGTGTATACTCCATGTCATCTCTGTCGATTGCTCTGGGGTTGGAACAACTTAGTTTCAGACTGGAGATTGGTATAAATAAATGGAAGGAAAGCAGCCAATTATGTTTCCAATACATAAGCTGGACCCTACATGTGACATGTCATGTCAGTCTTTTTAACTCCAAGTTGGAGCCATCTGTGGAGCCCTCCCATCTGGTCTAAGTTACTAGTCTTCTCCTCTTGACATGGGAAGGGAAACTGCCACCCTCCATGTATGTAGATGACACTGCTGACCTACATGCTGTGGGTTGTTTTCTTGTAGTGGTGATGGATTTGCCCTGTTCCCTCCACACTCATAAATATTTGGCTCCTCTGTGACCAAAAACAGATGAAGGCAGCATGGGGCCAGAGACAAAGGCAAAGCCAACGCAGGGGTCAAACTTATAATCGTGACAAATACATCGACTGCTGGCAGAATTTGTACTCAGTTCTGGCTCATTTCAGAATCTGTGCACTTAACCCTGACGCCATATGTAACCCGATATCCATGTACGACCATCATATAACAAGAAATTATTATACTCCAATACTTCTTTGCATCTAGGAAGAAAAGCTTTCTCAAATATTCACTACACAAACACCATTACCACCCTGGGGATTTAATGTATTTTTTAGCTCTTTTTGCATGGCATGGTCAGCTTCTTTCCAAAATTTGGTAAACATCTTTCATCTTACATAATCAAAATATATTGAACATGCAATGTGTGCACAGTCTACAATTACAGTTTGTTTACATTAGAGCTCACTTTGTCACTCTGCAGTTCCTGAACTCAACTCAGTTTCCATTCACCTTTACAAATTCAGCACTCAGGAAATACAATGCAGTGTGTACCCAAAGGCACCTTTTTGTGTTCAGGTGTGCTTTTTATTAATTTCTGGTTTTTAATAGCTCTGATTTTCAGATTTTCTTCATTCCTCCTGCCTTCCTTTCCCCTCTCCCACCTAAAACTTAGAGCTGGTATGTTCTTTTCTTTAGAGGATGGACTGTCGCATCTGGTAGAATCAGAAGGAAGAGTCCAGCTGGGTGAGCTTTGCCACTGATGGTGAGTATTTGTGTTTTCTTTGAAGTGGCTCTCTCATGTGAGAAAATGATAGATTCTCTGGAGAATCAGGTGGGATGGTTCAACCCTTCATTTAGCCTTTCTAGAAATTGCCCATCTATTTAGTGTCTGTTATAGTACCCAAGACTCCTGTAGTTATCTGGTATAAAATTCTCATTTCATAAATGACTTTGTGTAAGGTTAATAACCACGCTAATTCTACAAGGCCTACTTTACAACCTGAGTCTTAAGATGAAGAGTTGTTTTGTTTTGTTTTTTTAGTATTCCCTTTCATCCCATGGGAAATGTTATTAAGCTGAACTTTCTTTCAAAAATCTCTGTTGTGCTAATGTTTGACTCTTGGCTGTCTAAAGGGAAACTTGTTCTTACTGAGCTGCTACTGTGTGCTGCTAAGGCTTAGGCTAGGAGCAATACACATTTTGCCTCAACTAATCCTCACAGCTACCCAGTGAAGCAGGTATTATGATCCGTACTTCACAAACCCTTTTACCAATAAGGAGACTGAGACTCAGGAAGATCAAGTGACTTGCTCAGGTTCCCAGGGACAGGAGCAGAGCTGGGATTAGAGCCCAGCCTTTCCCAGCTCTTTCAGCTGTACCAGAGCTTGTCCATCACACAGGGGGACTTCTGTCCCCAGGAACCTCCCTAAACCCCTACTACCATGCTTCCCAGGAGGAAGACTGGCTCAGAGTTCCCGAGGAAAAATCTGGGAGGTCCTCTGGATTCCGATTGGCACAAAGTCAGACATCAAGGAAAATTAAATTTTCATTTTTAAGAGGGGAAAAGATGTACCTAGTCTTTTGGTGGAGAATAGTAGGGGGCGGAAGAATACTTTATAATTACATTTGTTACATACATTTTGGTTTGTGTCATAAAAATGCTTTGATGCTGAAATTATAGGAACTCTTTGCTTTCTATTGGCCAATGAGTTTTAGCATTTAAAAAAAATCTTAAAACAAAGTAAAACAATTCAGTTTTTAGCATCATTTTTTTTTTCTTCCTGGTAACTTACTTTTGTCTGCATGACCAGTGGGCATGCTCTGGGATGGAGCTGGCCTGTTCCATTGTGAACTCTGGTACTTTAAACAGGCCTCTGGAGTAGAGGGGCGCGGGGGAGGGGGCAGTGGTGAGCTGAGCACCCCAACACCCAATGGCTGCCTATTTGAGCCTGAGGAATGAATGTCTATATTAAATACATAATTAAAGCACATTTTAATCAGGAAAAAGAGAGGTTCTGGAAAGTTCTCCAAAGCCCCGAGACAGAGAATAATCTCCCACTCTCTTTTCTTCTGTTTTGGATGATGAAATCTGAGGAGCTCTGCTTATCTGTTTAATGGGATTTTACAGCACGTGCTGGCCGTGATTAGAATCTGTTTGTAAAGAATATTGAATTATTTCAAGTTAGGAAATAAAAGGGGAGAGGAGTAATGATGAGCAAATTGAGGCTGTGAAATGTCTTTAAAAAAAAAATTGGACGAAAAAAGACCACCTGGATTGGTGCCAGAGGGCATGGCCAAGGCTGCTCCCCGCCATGGCGCGCCATCCTGTAGCGGGGCTGATGTAAACACTCCCCTGCCACCGTGGGCGTCGTGTCAAAACATCAGCGATAGTGTGTCTGAGCCATCAGATTAAGAGAATCTGCAAACACTATCTTTTCCCCTCCTCTCACGTTCTCTTAAAACAAATAAAACAATATAGGGGAGAGGATGCTGGCAGAAAGAGGCGTGGAGTTGGAAGGAGTGTTTAGACAGAATGGTTCCTGCTCCTTCTGCTCCAGGAAAAGGGCCTGGGCCATCAGGGTGGTCACAGGGTCAGGCAGAGGGGACTCTGGAGGAGTGACTCGCTTGTGCCGCGAGAGACCTTGTGACGCCTTGGAGCCCATACTGAAAATTACTTCTTGTCTCGATGGAGAAGTGGGAGTGGAGAAAGGTTTCAGGGATTGTAGGTTGTGGGTCAGCTCCGTGGACAATGGTGGAGGGGATCCAGCATCCTGGGCCACCTCTGTTTAGATAAGAGCTTTTCCGTGAGCGTCTTGGCTTGTGCTGCTTCCTGCTCTTGAGGGCCCTGTGGTCCATTCACACATCCAACAAGGCCTTTCTTCCCAGCCCTGCTTTCCTTCCTCCCCTGCTCTTCTGCTTGCTCCTAGGTGAGCTCTGGCAGTCTCCCCTCCTCCACAGCCAGAGGGTCCCTCCCGTCCCCCTCCCCCTCCTTTATGGAGTCTGAGCCAGGGCCAGGGGATCTTACCACCCCACACCTGGGTGACTGGAGGCTAAAAGTGTGGGTGCTTCCTTGGTTACACCCAGATAGGAGGCTCCAAGGGAACACCTATTTTGTTCATTCTTTTTCTTAGTGAAGGCCTGCTCAACTGAGGAAGGGTAATTTGATAAATTAAAAATCTTTAGGAAAATGATAGGAGTGGCAACAAGTAGTATCCTTTAAAACATTTAAGAAGGAGGCTTAAGATGTTACCTCCAATCACTCGGCGAATAATATTTTAAACTATCATTATATTTCATTCTCACAAAACAAGGAGAATGGCTTACTTATTATATAGTGGTCAACACTGAAATGTCCAGAAAGCTTTGGAAATAGTAGTTTAGCATAAAGAACACAGATTTTAGAACTAGCCAGAACTGAAATCATGGTTTTATAATTTTCTAGTCATGTAATCCTGGATAACAAAAGCCCAATTAAGAAAATCATAGTCATAGGAAATTGCTCAGGAGTCTTTTTGATTTCTTACATCATTCTGAAATTTTGTCATTAGATCACAGCCCACAAAAATCACTTTTAATAAATTCTGCTTTGGAGCTGTATCATTGCCAGCATTGAAGATGGTAAAATTATCAGTCCCATGACACTCACTGCAGTGGAAATGTGGTCAAGGAGTTTGTCTGCTCTGTCCCACAGAGCATGAGGGAAGAAATCATTTCTTTGGACCTCAGTTCCCTGAAAGGTTGTACTTCTCGTGGTTTGCTTTTATCTCATGGGCCACTTAATCTTGCACATGTTCCTTTCTATTTCTCTCTTGACAACTAGAAAGCAGAGCACGTGGGCATATCTCTATGGTCTTACCCCATTTTCTCACTTCATCCACAGTTGTTCAATTATTTATTGTATTCTTTGTGCACCACTTCAAATTCCGGAGGAATGGATGTGTTCCTGGCAAGGCCAACTCAAAAAAGCAACCTCATGCTACCATGTCTTACTAGTTTTATGAAAGGCATTAAACAACAAGTGCAAGGGAAATAAAGAATTTACAGCAAATCCCTTTGGCATCCGCAAATGTTAGGGTGATACCGAATGAGTTAATTGGTGTAACACACTTAGCACAGTACCTGGCACACAGTAGACAGATCCTTAGCTTTGTCATTTTATTATCTGACAACACTGAAGGCTACTTAGGAGCAGGGCCTATGTCTCATTCATCATTAGAGCTTCAGTTTCTAGCCCAGTCACCTGGTAAACGGTAGATGAGCAACACACGTCTTTGCTCAGGTAACGGCCTGATAAGGAGAGTGAATCCTGACAGAGAATGGCCTGATGACATGGGAACCCAACCTCCTGTTAGGCGTCAATCCTGCCATCCACACTCTCCTCAAATGTGCTGAAAAAGGGGCATTAGTGACCGTCAAGTGACCTCTCACACATCCCCTAACCTAAGCATCATGTCACCACCATCCATGCCTATCCATTCGCCATGACAAATATTAATGAAGACAGGGGATCTGCCGGGGACCTGGCTAACCTCGGCACAGCAGTATCAGCGCCTGACAAACTGATAGTGGTGGGCAGTTTCAACTCAGGCAGCGACGTTGACATGTGGAGAGGCGTCTTCTGGCCTGACAGGAAATAGAAAACTGACCGGCAGTGTCTCCTCCTTTCTTCACGGCAGGCAAAAATATGGGCTCACAATTACTATCACCATTTTATTCAAATAAAAAACAATTAGCTCACTCATATTCCATGTAAAATGTAAAATCATCTCCCGTGAAGTAAGCAGACAATTTAGCTTCTTCTGTTATTAAGACTGTATATGGTTATTGAAGAGACCAGTCAAATTCGTGGAACAATGTCAGAATACAGTTGAGCACATGCAAGCACAATGCCCAGAGCCCACATGCTGCTATGGGCTTGGCAAGACTTGGGTCAATGAGCATTTGAACAGCTGAGGTAGAATTCATGAACGAGAGGAGACCCTGGGATATTATAACTCCTCTAATTTCCTAAATAATCTGAAATGTCCACAATCTCTGGTCCCATTCTGATTTCGTGGGAATAAGTCATCATAGTCAGAGGACTTGTGCACAGATGCAGCTATTTCCTGGGAGAACATTAACCTAACAGCATGGGTCATCTTGCCAGATTACTGTCCGCTTTCCCAGATTTTAGCGTGTAATCATGCCACTTCAGAGGGAAGCGACTTTGCAGTGAGCAGCCCCAGAGCTGCCTAAAAGTGCTAGAAGCACTGTGCAACCTTCAGCAAACAAATTTAGCACTCGTACTGGGCTAAGTACTTCACATGTATTTTCTCATTGAATTCCCCCAAACAACCTTATGATGTCAGTGCTGTTATCTCCGCTGTATAGATGAGGAAGCCCAGACTCAGAGAGGTAGTTTGTTTTGCCCAGAAACACACAGCTAGCAAATGGTAGTAGGTGACAGAGCCAGGACTCAGGCTTCAGAGCCCATGTCCTTACTATGTCACCTCTCTTAATATCACAACACAGGCTTCTTAAAACATATCTGCTTTCTGGGTCATGAAATCTTGATCAAAAATTATTCATTTTAATGTCTAAGGAGTTGTGACAGAACCAGTCCTGGTAGTGACAAATGAAGGGCTTTCAATCGCCCGGTTGATGATGTGTTAGGAGGCCACACACACATTTGTAGTCTCTGTGACATGTCAACCAGGGCCAGTTTCCTAGCAAGGTACTTGGACTCTCTGTACCTGATCTGGAAAACGGTAAATTATATCTGCC